TATAATTTATGTATTTATTGTTGTATTTTTGAACTTAATTAAAATGAAAACTGATCTTCTACTTTTTATTTTTATTATTTTTTACTTTTGTAATTATGTGTTTTATAAAATTACCAGATTACTAATAATTATTTACAACTAATTTAAATTATTCATATTCAATTACAAAAGAAAATATAATAAATTCGGAAAATAAAAAAATTGTAAAAGAATTGAATAAAATTGTTAAAGGAAAAAAAATGATATCCACTATTCACAACTCAAGTTTTATCACAAACAAACACAAACTCAAAAAAATTCTTAACTCAAACCATAACTCAAGTATAGACAACCAAACGCAAACTCAAGTTACAACTTCAACTCAAGTTATAACTCAAACTCAACTCAAAAACTTAACTCAAGAATACTTACAAAAGAACAAGCCCAGTATTATTTCTAAGTTTGTCGAAAAAAGTAGAATTCAAGTTTTTTTTCTGAGCTGATCATGGGGAACATACGTCCCGCACACGGCCCAGCTAGGCCAGCGGAGTGCCAGATACTCTTCTGCCCTTTCCCATTTAATGCCTTTTACGATCCATCTCCATCTTTTCTTTCCCTCTTACAGGTTTTTATATATATGAATATGAATATAGTTGATATATTTATATACGACAATGTTATGAACAAAAATGACAAATTGCTTAACCACAAAACTAAGTATACATATCACTTTATCATTTTCACAATTTTTGCATTAATGGTCACTTTCATATTCATGTGCGATAAGACAAGTGTTCATTTCTTTAAGTACATTGGCTAAAATGTCTTAGTAACATCATGGGCTCCTATAATTTGAATATGTAATCCTTTCTATATATACATTTTTTTTTTCTCCGTAGAAAGGTTTAAGTACATCGTGATTAAACTGACACTCTTTGATTAGCAAAAAAAAAATAAATAAATAAACTGGCACTCATTAAAATTCTCATATTATGACAAGAACAGACTAATCAATATTATTAAATTAAATTATAAAAGAAAATAAATAATATAAAAAAAAAGAGTGAATTAGTTTGGAGGGCAAAAAATTCAAAATCAGACAAAAAAAATGGAGGCTTACAACGCATCCAGAAAAAGTAACAATTGTCCGATTTTCACTAATTATAACCCTTAATCATGGAGTGTGAAGAATGATAATTCTTCTTCTTTTCATGTTCCATCAAATTCGCCCAAGACAATGAAGCAACTATGTCCATTTCTTTTTGAGCAATTGTATACAATTATTATTCTTAGATCTTTGTCAATATTAGTCTCTAAAACTTTATAGCCACACATGCAAAACCCCATCTCTTCTTGTGAATTGCCACACACACAAAAACAAGGTTAAATACCTAAAATTTGATTTGAATTTCCGGATTCTGTAAATTTAAAATTGAATCTTCTTACAAATATTTAAAGCAGACTTTATTAACTGAAATTGTATTTGGGCCTTGGGGCATCAAATTCTCTGAAACTCGTGAACCTTCCTATACTACATTCATAAATCTGATCTCCTTGTCTCTAGCTAAATTTAAATTTTTACCACAAAAGTTCTACACACCTTTCAAGACCCGATCATTCATAAATGTTGCAGTGTCTCAGGGACACTGTTTAATGTTTCCCTTCCTATTCTTTATTTTTCAGTTTTTTTTTTTTCTCATTTTATTAACCGTCTTTACAGCATTTGGATATATATCTTCATCTTCGACTTCGAATTTGGACACCTTTTTATTAGAGAAAAAAAATAATCATATATGAAGGTCATATTTATAATTATGATAACAAAATGATGAGGGCATAAGACTATCAGACATTGCACTGAGTTTTTTTTTTTTTTTTCCTCTCTCTTTTTCAATCTCTCTTTGGGAGGCACGTTTCTAATTTGTCGTTCAATTTGTGCAAGAAAATAAATAAATAAATAATTATAAATTGTGCCTTCCAACTAATAATCCATGGACATAGTGGCTCCACTAAGCACTACCTTCGACAGGGATTGTATTATTTTCTCTTTTGAGTAGAAATGTTGGTAAGCATGCATGTTCGCATTGGACTCCACCTCTTGATCTCCTTATTGATCTTTTTCTTTTCTTTTTTCCCTTATTGGATGTTAACCAAATTTTCTTTTTGGATTCCAAAGCGAAATTTTCACCTTTTTCTTTCTTTTATAGGAAGGAAAGAGAATATTAATGTTGGGAGATGCACGTTATAAATTACTACTTAGTGGCCTATTTGATTTATGGGAGTATAAATTCAAATTTTGTGAAAAAATAATAAAGTAAATTAAAAGGTTTAAATTATGATTTGAGCTTAACCAAACGGCAGGCATCTAGGTGATGGGAGGACGTTTTACTTATTACACTGATTGGAGTTTACTTCTCTAATATATACTCGATTTCAATTTGTGTAGTTTGAAAATATTTAAGGTTTTGTAACTGATAGAATTCAAATCTTTTACTCAATTATTTATGTCTTTAATCTGCTCTTGTCAAACAACCATAAATTGAAAATATCATCGCTGAAAGGTTCATTTGTTGGAGTGCATCCAATTCCCTTTTTTTTTTTAGTACTTTTACTTCCTATCAAAAAGGGTCCTAATTTTTTTGATCAATCCAAATTTAAGAATGTATTAGAAATGATAGCTTGAGATGGGTGTAAAGTTAAGCAAATTGCTTCTGCTCCAAGAACAGAGGAATGTGTGGGTTGTAAAACATGTGATAAATATCTGTTATCATATAACTTTTATTAGTCCTAAAAATTATTGTTGTCTGAACCCCAACGAATTATGAGACATTGTAACGCCCTCCGGAATTAAACTCGTTTAATTATGATAATTGTGGTTTATTAGTGTGCCTAAATTTATTTTCTTAATTAATCATGAGCTTTTAAATTTATTTTAGTATTTGTAATTTCACCCCTACTTATTTTATTTATTTTTCATAATTTTCTTTTTCCTTCTATTTCTCCTTTTCCTTTTTCCTTATTTCATTTTTCCTTTCCCTCCCTCACGTTACTCTCTCTCTCTCTCTCTCTCTCCTTCCCTCTCTCAATCTCCTGAGCTCTCTCCCTTACTCTCTCTCTCTCTACCTCGAGCTCTCTCTCTCTCTCTCCCTCTTCCATTCGTCTCTCCCTCTCTCTCTCAAAGTTTTCTTTCTCAAGGGCCGGATTTAAACCAAAAACGGAAGTTTCTAAGAGATTTTCAACATCAAAGCTTGGATCGAGATAAAACTCTTTGAAACTCACTTTAGATTTTCAGATTTAGCCTTGTGGAACTCGTTTTAGTCGAGTTTGGTGATTTTTGGTTTAAATTTTGTTTTCAAATGGAATCCGAATGGGATTTGGTGAAACCTTGATGAAAAATTGGGGGTTTTTGATTCTTTGGACCCTATTTGTTGATTTGAAACTAGATCTATACATTTCCCTTGAGAATATGTCGAAATCGGACCCAAAATTGCAGGTTTTGGCTTTGTTCCTCGCGAATCGGCCATTGTTGGCCCTGGAGTTTTTCCCCACCGGTTGACCGGTCACCCATCCATAGGTCGACCGATCCGGTCGACCGGTCACCTTTCCACCAGCTGACCGGTGGAGTTACACTCCTCTGTCACCGGTCGACCGGTTCGCACTGAAACTGACCCTAAACAGCCTAGAAACCATGTTTTGACCCCGAAACTCGATGTGGGATTGACCTAACCTCATTTGAGAACTCAAAATGAGTGGATTAGCCACATGAATCCTTATTTTCCATTTGATTCTCCTGAATCAATCTCTATCTACAAAGAATCATGATTTAAATTGAGAATTGTTTATGAACATTGATTTTGAACTATGGCACACTAATATGATACAATTGCATCTAATTAAACGAGAATGTTTGATGAGAAAGGTCAAACTCTAAATTATTGATTTTGATGGGAAAGATAGTGGCACGATTGGAATTGGAGCCTCGAAGGCAAGCGGAGCTAGGGCTACGTGAAGACAGCCACAGGTTTGATATCCAACAGGTAGGATATTCTTGTCCATATCCTTGTTAGCCT